TAATCAAACATTACGTTCTGATATATTTACGGTAGGAGATTTACAAAATATCTTCATGGAACATGATCTTTACTTAATATCCTAATGATTTTTGGCATAACAGAAAAATGTATAATTGTGACCCATACAATGTATTGTTGGCTATTGCTACAAATATCCCCCAGCGACTTAACACTGCTTTTGTGCTCCAGGGACACATATTTATGTTTTGGTCTGTTTAAACGCTGCTTGATCTGTGCAGATTTCTCTCCTGATTCAGACCAGAACACTTCTTCACTGGAGGAAGAGTTATTATGGATTATGGACTCAATGGTATTTTAGTTAAAAGCGTCTTAATGCTGGATTAGTTTCAGCTTTTGTCTTCTCCAGATGTTCACTGATGGACTGGAGTGCTGTGGATTACTTGTGGATTGTGATCAGCTGTTTGGACTCTCATTCTGACGGCACCCATTCACTTCCATTGCTGAGACACTGATGCAATGCTACATTTCTCCAAACCTGATGAAGAAACACACTCATCCTAATCTATGGATGGCCTGAAGGTGAGGAAATGAGGTAAGCTTTTCCTTTGAAGGTCTGTAATTGTTAACTAACGTAAACCTTTCATACCTGATGAAGGGCACTCACTGTGTGTCACGTCTGTGAAGTCAAGCGCAGGCCCTAATGAGAAGCTCTGGAGTCTGTCAGTGTTTTAAGGAAGCGTGTGCTTGATTGTCAGCCGCTGATGGTTTCTGATCTGATCTGAAGCGGTGGCTCGTAACTCAAACCTCTGCTCGTCTGGAGCGCTCGTGATCGTTCTGAAGCTCTGTGGCGCTCTGGCGCAGTGTGTGTGTGTGTGAGAGAGAGAGAGAGAGAGAGAGAGTGTGTGTGTGTGTGTGTGTGTGTGAGAGAGAGAGAGAGTGAGTGTGTGTGTGTGTGTGTGTGTGTGAGAGAGAGAGAGAGTGAGTGTGTCTGTGTGTGTGTGTGAGAGAGAGACGACTAGTAATGATGATGATGATGATGATACAGAATTAAGAAATGTCTAAGAAAAGTTGCATCTTTAGAAATTAATCATGTCCTGAGTCTGACCTTTTTTCATAAAAAAAAAAAAATATATATATATATTTTTAAATTGTTTAATGAATATTAAGCATACTTTAGGACCATACTTTTTTTTGTGCATTTTTTGTTGTTGTTGCAGATTTTACACAAATACTCAAAAAAAAAAAAAAATTACTCTAAATTACATAAACTGTAAATTATTTATTAGTGTTACTCTAATAGCATTGATAAACTATTATAGTTTTTATTGACATTTTCAATTTTTATTTGTATATTTTATAATTTGTAGTGCATTTTAGATTTCATTTTTATATTTTCTGTACTTTTAGTACTTTTGTGTGATTTTTGTCATTATTATTATTATTGTTGTTGTTGTTGTTATTCAATGTCTGTATAGCTCTTATTAAATTTTATTTCAGTTTTAGTTTTAGTTACTTTAATTCAAATTAAATTAAATAAAAAATATGCCTTGGCAACTAGTTGAAATAAAATAAGTTCTATATATGTTATTATACTACTCTATTGTTTTTCTCTGTTATTTATCATGTTATTATATGTTAATATTTCAGATAATGTTTTGATGCGGGTTTAATTTTACTTTTACTTAATGACAATAAACCTGGTATTTAAACACAATTATAGTTTTTTTGTTTGATAAAAAACTATGTCAAATTTTGTCATAAAAATACTGTCACGAAGCAAACACACTTAATCATCCCAAAAACCCACTGTCATTTTAGTTATGTTTCAGTTGCAACTAAATCCAGAGAAAAAAATGGACATGTTAGTCATGAGATAAAAACAAAGAGAATGCTGCAAACGAGACAGACGTGTGTCAGACTGATGGACGTGGAGCTGGTTCTGTGTGTGCTCGGTTGTTGATCTGGACATGAACTCAGTGGCTGCAGAAACAATGAGACGCATCCAGCTGAATCATGGGACGGCGCTAATGGCAGCTCATTTAGCTAATGGTGCACCATACTTCCTGCGAGACGAGAGAATAGCTGACCGTAAAGACCACACACACACACACACTCAAATGATGCAAAATGAAAATACATAGCATATCTATGTTTTCCACCATTTTTAATTCATATACAATTTATTATAAAAAAAATCTTATACAGTATCTCACAGAAGTGAGTACACCCCTCACATTTCTGTAAATATTTTATTATATCTTTTCATGTGACAACACTGAAGAAATGACACTTTGCTACAATGTAAAGTAGTGAGTGTACAGCTTGTATAACAGTGTAAATTTGCTGTCCCCTCAAAATAACTCGACACACAGACATTAATGTCTAAACCGCTGGCCACAAAAGTGAGTACACCCCTAAGTGAAAATGTCCAAATTGGGCCCAATTAGCCATTTTCTCTCCCCGGTGTCATGTGACTCATTAGTGTTGCAAGGTCTCAGGTGTGAATGGGGAGCAGGTGTGTACACACACACACTCACACACACACACACACTCACACTCACACTCACACTCACACTCACACTCACACACTCACACTCACACTCACACTCACTCTCTCTCACACACTCACACACACTCACACACACACTCAAATGATGCAGAATGAAAATACATAGCATATCTATGTTTTCCACCATTTTTTTATTCATATACAATTTATTATTAAAAAAAACCTTATACAGTATCTCACAGAAGTGAGTACACCCCTCACATTTCTGTAAATATTTTATTATATCTTTTCATGTGACAACACTGAAGAAATGACACTTTGCTACAATGTAAAGTAGTGAGTGTACAGCTTGTATAACAGTGTAAATTTGCTGTCCCCTCAAAATAACTCAACAAACAGACATTAATGTCTAAACCGCTGGCCACAAAAGTGAGTATACCCCTAAGTGAAAATGTCCAAATTGGGCCCAATTAGCCATTTTCTCTCCCCGGACGACCACTGCCTTGCTAAAGAAGCTGAGGGTAAAGGTGATGGATTGGCCAAGCATGTCTCCAGACCTAAACCCTGTTGAGCATCTGTGGGGCATCCTCAAACGGATGGTGGAGGAGCGCAAGGTCTCTAACATCTGGAAGAGGACTCCACCAGAGCTTCACAGCTTGCCACTGAACTCCATGCCCAAGAGGGTTAAGGCAGTGCTGGAAAATAATGGTGGGTGCACAAAATATTGACACTTTGGGCCCAATTTGGACATTTTCACTTAGGGGTGTACTCACTTTTGTGGCCAGCGGGTTAGACATTAATGGACGTGTGTTGAGTTATTTTGAGGGTACAGCAAATTTACACTGTTATACAAGCTGTACACTGACTACTTTACATTGTAGCAAAGTGTCATTTCTTCAGTGTTGTCACATGAAAAGATATAATAAAATATTTACAAAAATGTGAGGGGTGTACTCACTTCTGTGAGATACTGTATGTTTAAATACATGAATACACCTCATCAACCTTATAGCTTAAAGAGATGTTTTCAGTTCATCTCACGCAATGACTTTTGAGTCTATTTCTAAAATTCATTACTTCAATTCAGGCTGAATCATAAATCAGTTCAACTGACTCAATGTTGGAAAAACACACCCTGCAAACAAACACTGATGCGCCAGAGCTGCCAGCTGGATCAGAAACAATCACTGGCAGCTTGAGAGAAACCAGACAGACCATCTGAACTCATTACAGCGACTGGCTGCAGACACACCTGAACAGGTGTCCCCACACACACACACACACACACACACACACACACACACACACACAGTGAGTCGAAGCGCACAGATTAACAGCGTCTAATTAGATTTTATGGGTTACGCAAACGCTCCTAATGAAATCACACCATGACCGTATTAAACACTCGCGGCAGGACAGCGGCCGCAGCTCCACACGAGAGAGACCAGCTAAAAATAACACAAAAACAACTGAGGAATGACCCAGAAAATCAATCATAGAAAAACAAACAGTTCTGATAACTGATCACGAAATCCTGCTGTGGGTCATATTCAGTGTTATTTTATATTACTGCTTTACGGAGCCGCGCACATGGTATGCAGGAAAAAATAAAAAAATAAATAGTAGGCTAAATCGCGTGCACGATTTATAAATCGTAGGTATTAATAGTATTTATAAATCGAGGGAACGAAATAGTAATCGCGTGTGCGCGCACGATTTATTTATTTTTTCTTGCATGTCATGTGCGGGGCTCCGTACTATTTTTAATTACGTTTTCATTTTAATTTTACTTAGAATTTTACAGTTTGTGTCATTTTTACATATGTATGAAATACATATACTTTGTTTCGGTTTTATTTTATGATGGTTTAGTAATTTTGTGGCGTTTTCTCATTTTTGATTAATATATAGTTTTTTCTATTTATTAAGTAGATCAAGTTAAACTGACTGAAAATTTGAAATATTGTCTTGGAAACTAGCTGAAATAAAATAGGTTTATGTGTTTTTTTAATACTTTAAGTTAATACTTTTAATACTTTTTTTGTTTTGTTAATTGCTCTGGAAACTTATGGAAGCCCGTTTCCGCCACTGAACAAAAAATAAAAGAGGTAATTACGACTTTTTCTCACAATTCTGACTTTTTGTCTCGCAATTGTGAGTTTATATCTCAAAATTATGTGGAAAAAAAAGTCAGAATTGTGCGATAAAGTCGTAATTACCTCTTTTATTTTTTATTCAGTGGCGGAAACGGGCTTCCATAGAAACTAGCTGAAATAAAATTTAAAAAAATGTTTTTAAAATATTTTATTTCAGTTACATTTTTAAAAGTTTGTTGTGCATTTTTTAAATAATATTTTTTTTGTCTATATAGTTATTAATCTTTTTTCAGTTTTAGTTTTTATGTATTTTAGTACATCAAGTTAAAATCTGAAATGTTACCTTGGCAACCAGTTAAAATAAAATAAGTTTAAGGTTTTTAAATGTTTCATTTTTATCTCAGTTAAAGTCTATTTTGTTTCAAGTGAACGGAATGTTAATGTATCGCTTTAGTTCTCACCTGCTTTATGGCGTCATACACGGCTCTGAAGGCGGGCTGCTTGTCGTCATGGTAAACGCCGCGGTTGCCGTGGAGAATGTAAACACCGCTCTGTTCAGCGCTGATGCAGTTGCTGCCGTAAATACAGTGATCAGGACGATAGTTCCAGTGACACTCGATCAGCAGCAGAGCCTCTGAGATCAGACCCAGTGAGAATCAACGCGCTTGCACAGTTCTAGAGGTTTCTTCTGTATATTGTGCACACATGATGATGATGATGATGATGAGCTGGTGTACCTGGGTTATGGTGGAAGATGATGTTGAGCAGGTCCTGGTCTCCCCACGTGATGTTGAGCTTGTATTTGTGTAACAAAGGCATCAGAAGATCGGCCCACTTCAGATCCACTGCTGTCAGGTCGTTCTGTCGTTCACACACACACAGACAGACACACAGAGACACACACACAGACACACACACACACACAGAGACACACACAGACAGACACACAGACAGACACAGAGACACACACACAGACACACACACACACACA